TCAAAATGTTCTCATAAATCTCTGAAAATACCCATTTGTAATTTCTTATCCCTGTAAGTAGCTAATTTTTGTTTGAGATATTTGTTTTCGTGTTATCGGGTAGGCCCATAAATAAATGTTCTTCCCAAGAACACCACCGCTGCCTGCTACAAAGCTCTTACCTAAGACTTAAAGAGAGAAAACATAGAGAACATCACAGAAGATACCAACTTCATTTCACTTACCTTTTTTTCAATAGAAATTTACAATTTATTTGTTTATTTACTAGTCTTCTATTTGTAATGTTGAACTTAAACTCAAAGCATTGTTTGCGATTTTAGTCAAAATAGCTCTGTAATCTATGCCTAGACGACACTATGGAATTTATTTGAAGGTTTTTATTTTGCAATTAATTTCCACACACCAATAATGTAGTTTACCGACCAGACCTAGGTTTTTGAATCGCATGCAAATGTTTTAAATATTTTTAAACTCATTAATTACGATGATTGTCTGAAATATTATCGTAAACTAAAAACTTTAACAAATTGCTCCACATTTTCCGACTTTTCTTTCTTAGAATTTGTAAGAAAGTAAGGTCGGAAAATTAATAAAAAAAGACTATGATATGGTGCTAGCATAGTTGTATTTTTATGAATGCTGTGTTTTACTGTAATTAAGTACACATGTCAAGAACCGTTTTTACTCTTATAAAATAATAGCTTTTGCTCGCGACTTCGTCCGCGTGGAATAGTTACTTTGGGATAACGCTAAATTTTAACCGTGACTTCATTTCCCGCCGTCTCTTCATGACTCGCTGCTGAGCAGGGGGTCGAGACCGGGTTCCATCCTTGACCCGGCCCCCTAAGAGCTTCAGGCTCCACTTGCTTTATGCGGGGAGGGACCCAGCCGTGGGGCGGGGTAATTTACACTACGCCCGTAATAGGAAGTCGGGTGATGGTAGACCGCGTTCCCCCAACCGCTCTGGGGGAAGGTGCAGCGTGGCGCCATCAAGGTGGGCTCCCAGTCCGTCGACTGTGAGAACCGGTGGTCTTGTCGTCGGCGGCCGCCGGTCCGGCGTCTGGGGGACAGCGGGATGGATGTAATATGCTCTGCGGAAACCCTGTCCCGCCGTCTCAATAACTCCGACTGGGCTCCGGCCCGGTCCGGGGTAAGGCACCGGCTGTGAGCGGCAGGAGTTTTTAGTGAGGTTCAAATCCCACATAGCCCACACGCTGCGCCGATAGGGATCCGGCGATTTTCTCCTGTGGAAAAAAAAAACTGTATAATGACTAACATTGGGTTACTAGCGTTCAATTTCCACATCGGGCAATGATGCACATGTTTGTTTGTTTGATTTTAGTAATGTATAACATAGCAGAAAATAAAATATGCTCCACAGGGGAAAACTCACGGATAATATCGTGGTCATCGCAGGCGTCAAGCAAGGTTGCTTGCTGTCTCCCCTGCTGTTTATAATGGTGCTTGATGATGTGATGCGCAGAGTCACCTGTAAATGCCGACAAGGACTGCCTTGGACCGCGGATGAAGACCTTGAGGACATCGACTTTGCTGATGACATTTGCCTCCTAGCAACCAATCGGCAGCAGCTACAAAACAAAGCAGATGATCTAGTAGATGAAGCTGAAAAAGCAGGGCTGCGTATTAATTTCTCAAAAACAAAAGAAATGCGCATAAATACCACCGATTCGGCTCCTATGTCGATCAAAGGGAGGCACATCGAGCAGGTGGGAAGCTTCTGTTACCTGGGCAGCATTGTGGACGATAGGGGAGGCACCGAGGCAGACATTGCGGCTCGTATAAATAAAGCCAGAGCCGCGTTTAGTCAACTTAGGCCAGTGTGGAGTTCCTCAACCTTAACAAGACGAACAAAGGTGAGGATCTTCAACTCAAATGTAAAGTCTTTATTCCTGTACGGGAGCGAAACTTGGTTTGTTCGCAAGGACTTGATCAAAAAACTTCAAGTGTTTGTGAATAAGTGCCTCCGTCAGATTTTGAAAATCTTTTGGCCTGAGAAGATCACTAACAAAGAGCTGTGGAGGATCACTAAGCAGACACCAATGGAGAAGGAGATCCTTACGCGGAAGTGGCATTGGATTGGTCACACTTTGAGAAAGCCCGATACACACCTATCAAAGAGAGCACTGACCTGGAAAGTGTCTGGTAAAAGGAGGAGAGGCCGCCCCAGAACAACTTGGCGTCGCTCGGTGGAGCAGGAGCTAGGGGTCTTGGGCATGACGTGGGAGGAGCTAGAACAGACTGCCCAAGACCGATATAAATGGAAAAATTTGATTCGAGCCCTACACCCCAGCAGAGGGTAATAGGAAAACATGATGATGATGATGATGATGATGATAACATAGCAGAGCAGTGAATGAATTTTTTTTTTTATAATATAAATATAGTATTTCGTATATATTTCTATAACTTTTATAAAATAAAAATAGTATTTCCAAACATACTTAAAAGATTGGCTTTATTAACCCACTCACTCACCTTGAGCAAGACACTTTTAATATTCTTAATATTTAGTCATCATTATAATTCAAAATTTTAATTAGTCTAAGTACGTAAATTCTGTTAGCAAAATTCAACTTTAAAATTTATTCGAGAATACATTTGAGCGATCCTCACATTCTAATCTTGATCTAGAATTAAAAACTTGACGTACATACTTGTACGAGCATTTCGTTACGAATTTCATCACTGTACAAATTAAAATGTTTAATTTAACAACAACGATACAATAGATATCTTAATGATTATCTTGAGAATATCCCTAATAATCTACTACTGTAACCTGTCGCCAGCAAACAGTCATAGCGCTATTCAAACACCCCTTATTTATATAAGCTTTCTAATAAATTTTCTCCGAACAATAATTACAGATATAAGCATAAGCTATCTTTTGTGAGCATTTAATCATCTAACAAACGATTAGTTTTTGAGATCGGCCGTTAGAAGCTTCAAATTTATATGACTTCTTCCATCGTAGATATATACTCGTAATAAGTACAGGAATAGTAAGTAACAGACAAATGCTTTTAATTTGGTGCGTATTTGACGTTGACAGCTTTACCCGATACCTAAAACAAAAGGTTTTACTTGTAAGACAACAAGTTGATCGCGTAGGGATATGTTCTTTTTTTCTTTCTATTCTTTTCGAGAACAGAAATCCTAAAAACAGTGGCGAAGAATACCACTGCGACGCTTTTGCTTGAAACACTAATGCTAACACAACATAACGGAGAACATATCATCATCTTATCATTATATATACATATACACATAGCCCTGGGAGGCTATATCAGCGTTACCCTAGCGTGTATGTGAGCTCTCGGGTCTCAAACCGGAGGTGTTGCTAACACTGGCCCTAGCAAGAGCAGTGCTGAGACTCACTGAGAAGATCCGGCAAGAAAATCAGTGGGCTGTGTCTGTGGGTTAATACCACTGTCCACTGCTGGCCTCTCCAATTGATCTCAAGCACATCCAACGTTGCCACCTGCATCCATCGTGACCCAGCGATTTTCACTAGTTCGTCGATACATCTGGTACGTCGCCATGGATACAGCATGTATGTGGTGTCCGGAATTCAATAAATACTAGAGGTCCCGCAGTAGTCGAAATTCAACTATAATTGGAATTGTAAGTACGTACAATATTATGATTGTATTTTATACTTCTATAAAAAAATATTAATAAAGACAAACAATATTTAATCTATTCTCAATTTGACCGCAGACGTCAAGAACCAAAGTTTGACAATAAATAGTATGCATGCGTGTGTGCGTCAAATACATCGTATGTAGTGTGTGTAATGTTTTCTTTATTGATTTAATGTATCTTTTATGCATTATTTAAAAAAATATTAGCATTGTGCACTTCTTCTCTATATTCTCTATAAGTGTGGAAAATTTCATACTCCTCCGTCCGCGCAATTTTCGTAAAAAGGGATACAAAGTTTTTGCTTCACTTATTAATATATAGATAATTACCGACAAATCGTCCCTTTCTGTTTTATCTGAGCAATGTAACTATACGAACTCGTGGATGTCTAGTTTAGACAAAGTAATGTGAATGTGATATTTTCGTTGGTATTCTCGAATTATAAACATAATTAAAACTAATTTTACGTTTTAACATCGATTATCATTTCTTCGTGACCACGAAAACTGTTAATGTATCGAGAAGTAATGTGATGGCAATAATAAAGGCGAAACCTAAATTCAAAATTCAACCGTAAAACTGTATTTAATAATAAAATGAATAATTGTATTGTAAATAATGATTTTGAGTCCGCACGGCTAGGTACCATCACCCCACCTATTTCTGCCGTGAAGCAGTAATGCGTTTCGGTTTGAAGGGTGGGGCAGCCGTTGTAACTATACTGAGACCTTAGAACTTATATCTCAAGGTGTGTGGCGCATTTACGTTGTAGATGTCTATGGGTTCCAGTAACCACTTAACACCAGGTGGGCTGCGAGCTCGTCCACATATCTAGGCAATAAAAAATAAATAAAAAAAATCTGTAAATTGTACATGTAAAACCTGAACTGAGTTGGAAAATCTAACCTTAAAACGTAATTATTTTATTTCACATTCGAGAGAATTCGAGTTCAATCCTCAGTTCTTTCAATTCCTCTTTGTATTTAATATAGCCTAAAGACAATACAGAATAAATGCATAAAGTAGCAACGTAAGCTGATAGATTCAATACGTTGCTAATACCTTTAGAATCCTTACAGAACTTATAATTAGAATCCTTACAGAACGGCGAAAATAAGTAGTTATTTGGAGCTAATCTGTGCGGGAAAATGAAAGAGCTAACTTGTCAGGGAAAATGAAAGATCCGGAAAAAACAAACATAAAACGCAAAATGCATTAAGAAATTTATTTATTTAAAAAACGAAAAGTACAAAATCAGATTTCATAACAATAAAAAATTTAGGATTCCGTTGTTGAATTAAAATTCTAGTTAGTGTTCAACTTTATTGAAGTTTTATTCAGGGATGACGATGCCCTTGGCCTTAGCGCGCTCTTCGTACTTCTTCCTCCATTTGCCGTCGGGGTCGAAATGGGCTGTCAGCTCCTTCCAAATTTCCAGTTCATTCTTGATTAAATAATCAATACTAGTTTCAGCGCCCTTTTCTTGGGCTTCAGTGCATTTCTCGCAACCAGTCTCTAGAGCTTCTTGAAGATGATCTAAACAAACAAAGTTGAATTTAGGTTTAATCCATAATAATTGATATGTGATATTATGTTAAAGGAATTCTTTTTTTGTACTTATACCAATAGAAGAAGTCAAATTACGAAATATACTAAGCGTGCTTTAAGCTTTGACTGGTGGTAGGACCTCTTGTGAGTCCGCACGGGTAGCACCACCCTGCCTATTTCACCCGTGAAGCAGTAATGCGTTTCGGTTTGTAGGGTGGGGTAGCCGTTGTAACTGTACTGAGACCTTAGAACTTATATCTCAAGGTGCGTGGCGCATTTACGTTGTAGATGTCTATGGGCTCCAGTAACCACTTAACACCAGGTGGGCTCATCTAAGCAATAAAAAAAAAGCCTGAAAAACCATCAGGGTACATTTTAGTGGGATTCCCAAAATAAAAACCTTGGAATTGATTTTGAAGACTCAATATCAACTGGACAGTCTAAAACGTAACCATAGCTGTAAAATCCCTTACCCATAACGGAATTGAAAGAACAATAAACTTTACGTTTAAAGAAATAAAAGTCATTATTTCTTTTACAATATTCAGCTCTGATATCAAACAACAAACCTTTCAGTTCCTTCCCTTCGGGAGTACACTTGCCCTTGCCGAGCACGCAATCCATATACGACTCCAGGAGCCTCTTGTTCTCCAAAATTTCTTGCAAGTTAATTTTGTCATATTTGTCAGTGTACTTATCATCAGCAAGCACGGCCACGAGTACACAGCTCAAAACTATAAGGACCTTCATGGTTGATGATCCTGCAAGAAAATTCATTTTCTGTTATCAAACTTACATAAATTGGTTATTTCAGTTTTCGCCCTCCAATGTGTTATGGGTGGTAGGACATGGCGTGAGCTCACATGGGTTGACCACCACTGTTTTTCGTATTTCTGCTGCGAATCCAATACGAGCTTAAAGGTAAGCTACCCATTAATCCAATACGTGCAGACTTATTCAAGCGAAGCTTCGTTTGGGACCGCGGACCTGACGGATATATTATTGCTATGCCATCTGTATTTTTTTATGTTTTATGAAGGTTATTTTTAGGATTATTTTGAGATTGTTTATATAATAATATTTATTTTTCTACCACCATACCACTCGCTACAGGAACAGCGTTCATTAGAGTGACGGTGACCATTGACTGGTTATCACCAAACCATAATTGTAAGATCGTCTCTCCTCAAAGGCAATTAAAAGAATGAAATTTCAATAGAGTATTTAGCGTTTGTCCCCGGTGCGTTTTGTACGGTTGGCACAGACTAATCCTAATAAATCTAAGGACGCCTTTGATCTAAATGAGGCGACATTCGCTGTAAGTTTTTTATTCACCACTTAATGTTAAGTTGGCTGCAAGCTGGCCTTCTACAGCAACAGTAAGCTATTAAGAATAGATGCGAGCAAGAATAGATTATTATTTTTCAAAAGCTTTAAACCCAATCTGGGACGAAAGATAGACAATTATAAAAGTTTGTAAACGACATATCTAAGCTAAATGTTAAGAGGCAAAACCAAAGTCTAAGACCGTCCCCGATACGTCAACGACAGGTAATTTGCAATATCATCAAAAGAGCATATTATTATCTTGGAGTTCTACGTAGACCAATCTGCTAGTCTCAATACCGCAGGATTGACATAGAGGTGTACCTACGTCAGCTTCAAGAACCCAATAAGAAATAGTATAAAATCGGGACTAGTGGCGTTTTATCAATCGATGATCTAAGCCCACGTAGAGTTTTGGGGTTTACAAAACCGTGCGACTACGCTGGACATTGAAATAAATTAATCTACATAATCTCACCACCAAATGATATACTATACACAATAAATAGCCCAAAAAAAACTCACATATGACTCTTATTATAAAAAATTCACGAACACTAATTAACAAAAACAATGCAATGTTAAATTTATAATGTATAAATATTTACTTCATTCACAATTAAAACAAGAAAATTTTATGCAATTCAGCCACCTACCTGCTCAGCACGTAAGTGATTCCAATGGTCTGCAGTGTCTTATGATGTTGAATGTAATGTTATACCAGTATTTATAGTCGCCAGCGATGTGTTCAAAGCATCTAATTTGCTAGGTCGGTTCATTATTTCATCTGTCTTCGATGCATAAAAACCTTTTCGCATACAGGTTGGTTAAAAAGGTGAGCAGATAATGTTTTTTGTTTTTGTTCGTATTAATTTTTGTTGTCTTTTTTGACTTTGTTTCGGAATAGAATGAAATATATTTAATAAATAAAAGCATTAGTAAGTTTACTTTTAGGATGGCAATTAACTAGTAGCACTCGATTAGAAAAATTAATGAGCATTGCAATAGCTTTAGTAGCAAAACACTGATTTTTGTTTTAAGAATTTATTTTGGATCATCTTCGATGATATTCGGGATCTTTGATGATATTCGCAATAAGACTTACACATATTTTTTTAGTTTTGGCAAACAAACTTATTTAGCAAAAAGTTTGGCTTGATTGAAGTTTGGCCTTATTATTGAATTTTTATTTTTTTATTTAAAGAAATATTCATGAAAGTTCTTCGTAATATAACTTACAGTTTCTCTACAGAATTTTTAAATGTTCTTATTTGATTTTTTAATATGAAACATGTTCTTTGTTTATAATGCATAAGTAATTCCTGAAGTATTCAAGCCGATCTATACCGCCAAAGAATCCCTTCCCATTGAATCCTCTGTGACCGTTTTTAACGTTGGCAATAGCATGCTACTATTTATCTGAGGACACAATGCCCTCTAGAGGTCATACGTATTTAATATTTTTAAATTGAGATTGTTGAAAAAATCACATAAAAACTAATACAAGTTTTGCAGGTTTTTTACATCAGCTTTTTGATAGCGAGTGGGAATCTCGGGGATTCAGGCATTCATCGACGCCAACATACATTGTATGTACCATTTCTATGATAAAGACTTTTAGTAAGACCCACAAGTTTTTATTCAGTTACGTAATTACGGGTAGCGAACCATATTGTGAGCACGTAAAGGAATGTAAGAGGTAACCTATTTCTGACGGGAAAAAATCACGCGTCCATTTTGATGGATCGTAATTATTCAATGTTATTGAAACTACGGGCCTTTGGATGGTGGTGTTCGCATTTGAGCTAGTCTTTTTGGTACCTCATCGCTAGTAGCCTCTAGAAGCTATTCCAGCAACGCACGATGTGCTAAGTGAGCTTGTGGAGCTCAACCTGGGAAGACTTGTTAATACTAGCCCTAGCAAGAACCGTGGGCTGTGTTTCCTTTTTTTTTAATCGCTTAGATGAGGTTTTTGTGAGTTTGATTTTTATTACATGATATTATAGCTTCACCGTGGAAGTCTTTCGTGAACAATTTTTAAGTACTAAGTACATATTTTACTAGAAAAATTGGTACATACATACATGCGAGATGTGAACACAGGCACAGTTTCATCGCTTGATACGAATATCTTGTCTTATCCTTTAGGCCACGACAACTATAGAGTTTATAGCCTAAGTTGTATATCGAACTCTTCGTCGCATTCGACAAGTTCAAAAGGACGACCGGTGCCTGAAGTGCCTAAAAACACCAAAAATGGATGGCGCTTAGGGCGACGGCGGCTTTGTTTCCCTCCATCGCCTGAGTCGGGTATATTAGCTATGATCTCATGTATTCGTCTTGGAAAAAAAAACAGAACAAGAAAGCAAACAAAAGCAGGAAATAATAAAACTGAAACAAGGCAGAAAGATGTTGGAAGCCCAGTTAGTTCAAATATAGACTTGAACATCTATAGTGGGTGAATATAAAAAAAAGTCTAACAGTGTTTAAAAGCACGCAGTATAGTGGACGTAGCAGTAGAGGATTTTGTTATAATCTCATTTTATTTTAAAATAAGTAATATTTACGAACATCCTGTGTATAAAAAATAAAAATATTATGGGGAAACACAACAACATTACGAGTTCTTCCGTTTTCCATGACCATTTATTAAATTTCTTGAAACCGCGTTTACGTCATTTACAGTTTTTGTGGATTGTTTTTTTTACTAATTTTGCTTTCCTGCAAACTCGGAGATAAAGTTAAGCGCAAGGTTATAATGGAATTAAAAAACAAAGAAAATGTATGTAGATTGCTTGATACTCGCGAGCCAATTAGCTTCAGTTTTACTGACTACACTTTTTTTATTTATGATAAATTAATAGGATTAAAGCCTTGTGACGTAACGCCTTGTTCATGTTGACCACTAAACCTTCATGAATTAAGATCGCACAAGCTATTCTTTAAATGGACATTTTTTTCAACGGAGTTGAGTAGAGACAGAGAAGAATTCACAGCTCAGTTTCCGGGTCAAGTAGACATCATAACCGAAATACCGTCTATCAAAGTCATTGGGAATAGAATAACGCCTGTCCTACCTACATAAATACCGACCCCCCTACCTAACGCACTTTATATTTGAGCGCATGGTTGTGGCAGAATAGTACCACCCAATGCAGTCTCAGCTATACCTTTGTGAGTTTTATCACATGATATTATCCTTTAGTTAATCTTGTTTAAAAGTGGTAGAACATAGCAGCAAGGGAATACCCGATTTGAAGCTCATTACAAAACTTCAACTGTATCTGGGCAAGCATTGTACATTATTCCAGAGGTTTCCGGTAGTATGGGTGAGCTCTAAAATGACGACGATTAGCTTCTTCTCCATCGCTCCCTCATTGCTAAGGATCGTGACTCCGTTTCAGCTTGTCGACTGCCAGTCAGTGCCAAGATGTATTTTGGTCCTATTCGACGATTAGCACTAAAGTAAAAATAACAAAAAGGGTCCACGCAAAGTTCCTCAGAATACTTCACTTCATATAGTATGCAGAGATACCCAAGTCTNCTGTGATAGTGCCACAGGAAGCCTGATCGTAGCGATTGGTTGCCTTGAAAAAGACAGTTGGTATAAGGTGGGTATTCACGGTCACAACACTATCACGCACAAATGTGTATTCCGATGCGTAGGTCGCAAGCGACCAACGGATTGGAAGGCACGTTCACACACAACCGAGTCGTAAACGAGAATGTATTCACGGTCACTACACTGTCGAGCACAACTGTGAGTTCAGAGACGCAGCTCGCAAGCGGGCCACGGATCGGAAAGCACGTCCGCGCACGACCGAGTCGTGAGCGAGAATGTGTAAATGCGCCACCCATCTTGGGATATAAGTTCTAAGTTCTCAGTATAGTTACAACGGCTGTCCAACCCTTCAAATCGAAACGCATTACTGCTTCACGGCAAAAATAGCTAGGGTGGTGGTACCTACCCGTGCGGACTCACAAGATGTCCTACTATCAGTAATTACGCAAATTATAATTTTGCGGGTTTCATTTTTATTACACGATGTTATTCCTTCACCGTGGAAGTCAATCGTGAATATTTGTTAAATACGTATTTCATTACAAATATTGGTACCGTTGCATCGCCACATACGAATGCACCGGAAGTCTTATCCTTTAGGCCACGACGACTTCAAGATTCAAAGAGTCAAGAGTCAAATAGAAGCTGGGATTTTGTAGTCCTGCTACAGAAGTGAGAGTCGAGCCCCACGAGCGATAGGACCTACGCTTTGGTCTAGTATGAAGCACCCACTCGCCCTGTCGGACCCCTAACATTTTAAGGCCGTTTTGGCTTCTAAGCGATATCCAAACTGAACCTTGCTTAACAAATCGAACCCGGGGATCTCGGAATATATTAAAATTTTCAATGTGAGCAAAAAAAATTTAATGATGATGTGTTTTTCATGTGTAGGAGTAACGACGTGTAACTTAATGTGTCTGTTTACGTAGTTCATTTGAATCGTTTCATATTTCATTTCCTATTGAAATTATTTCGCCTTCAATATGATGCTTAGTGACTAATGTTTTCGACTAATCTTCTTTGGTGTAATGCAGTATATATTGTAAATCTATAGATTATAACATGTTATATACTTCAAACAAGCTTTTAAATAACTATGATATGTACTTAAAAAATGACGTTGTTATTGATAAATACAAGAACACAGTTTTTTGAAGTAAGTTTAGTTTGTACATGTCTCTTATTTTTTAAATTATGTTCGAAAAATCTCGACATAAGAGATGTGATGTTAAAATCGTTAATTTGATTATATTTGGGCTTAAAATCGGCTTATATTAAGGATAACATTTGTTTGGGAATTTTAGATCCCAAAAAGAGCCAAAATACGAAGTTGTAGTAGAGACCAATCAACATCAAGGTATCGATCAACATCGAAACTAAATCTTGTAGAATTAATAAATATGTATTCGTAAATACATAGATTGCTATAGAGTCTTTTGGGTAGGTACCACGCTGCCTACCTGGACCAAACAGATGGAACATTCTGATTTGAATAATGCAACATAGCCAATAAACAAAGTAATTATGTTTTGAACTCCATTGTAATATTAATTATGTTGACTTTGAACACAATTAACGTAAAAACCCAAATGGGCATTCATTATTTCATCTACAGCAACAAAAGACCATTATTCATATCACTGAGCAGAGACAAAATAAAAAAAATTATCCGTGACATTAATCTGCCACAGAGGGACACAAGCAGTGCTAGAAGCGACAACCGTGCTTTGCCAATTATTCCGTGCACTCAATTGTGTAATGTAATTGATTTTATATTAATACGACGCAAACACTACAGGAATCACGGTTTCGGCTTTGCACACAACTTTGTTGCACATCTATTTGTCGATAACATAGCCATTACAGATCAAATATAAGCCATCTATGCCAAAATTATAAATACAGGCGAATAGTCAAAACTATCTACATACTCGATCCTGTAGACCGAATGATAGACAGTCGACGTCGCCCAAAACACGTCATTACGGATCCTCCCGATCTATGATGCTTTTAGGTACCACGAACACCGGTCACCGTCCTCGTCGAACCCGTCGCTTGCGGCGAAGGGCTGAAATAGCCTCTCAAGGCTATCAGCTAAGGTAGCAAAAAAAAAACTATCTACATACAAATCGTTATATTCTAAAAATCAAAATATAGCTCCATATAGAACGACTCGGTGGTGCAATAATTAGCGCACCTGACAGTTACGCCGAGGGTCGCGGG